ATTTATTTATAAAATAAAGAAATATGTCTTTTATTTTTACAACTCGAAATTAAAAAATGGGGTTAGAACAAAATGTAAAGGAGTGGTACGGCAGTGCATAAGCCGGCAGTTAATATGCCAACGGAATGAAATGACTGAAGAAAACTGTCATCGCAGATGAAAAAATAATGATATAATTATTATATAATTAATTTTTTAAAATTTATTTATAAAACTATATATTAATGTATTTTTTTTTAACAAGATTACAATTTTGAGAGTGAAGGAATCGAACCCCAACTTTCAGATTGGAGATGCACTTTACAAATTGGTCTATGGTCGTTGGGTCGTGAACCCCAAGTGCTATATTAATGTATTTAATAATATATCATAATTATAAATTTATAATTTTTATGTAATATTATAATTATAATTATAATAAATTAAATTCTGTAATATTAATACGGATCAGCTTAACTACAATTCCTTCCATCTTCATCTTCTACCTAACATTATTAGGTAGGAGTAAGTTTGCAGCGGTTACGTACCTTTGTATCAGGAAATTAAATTTGGCAAATGCTATTTCTTGTTCACATTCTGCCATGTTTTATATGGCCATTGGTGGATTTTTTTTTGTTAATGAAGTATTTTCTTAGAATAAGGCCTGATCCTAAAACTACTAGCATTTTAGGTTTGATTTTTATTATTATGTGGACCGTGTGGAGGGATTAGGTATATTCATCTTTGTGTTTATTTCTCTGAAATTTAGAAATAATTACTAACTTGGTTAAATGAATTTAACATAGAATTGTGATTGAGATTCAATTGATGGATTGATGAAAAAAATTCCAACTTTTTTAACCGTATACACTTAGAGTATGATTAAAAGTATAATAAATATATATATTTTTTTATAAATTTATATTTAAAAAATAAAAATTAATTTTTAATTTATCAATTTTTAATTAAATTTATCTATTTAATATTAATATTAAAATTAATATCAATTTTTATATATATATTTTTTATATATTTATAACAAAAAATACCCTTAATTTCTACTCTAAATATATAAGTTAGATAAACTTAAAAAGTAATTCTCTTGATATCTTAATATCTTTTTTCAGAATCAAATTAATTTATTTTAGAGGAGTCATTACTGCAAGTGTACCTTTTTAGCTAACGCGAATTGTAAAGGCAAGTTATCAATATCTGAGAATGAATTACCAAAGTTTATGATAAATTAATTCCATGAAACCTTTCTTAAAAAGTTCCTTTTGTTGGATATAAAATTATCTGTCAAAGAAAGTCTTCTTCGGACTACTAATAATTAATCTTTTGTGAAATGCATGATGATAATATATTCATATATAAGTAGATCTTCTGAAATGAAACGTTAGGTGTCCTTAATTCTTTTTTGGAAGAAGTGTACTAGACGCGGCATGTATCTTTAGGAATTTCAATTTTTTTTTTTTTTTCTAAACCTTTAACATCAACATGTGCCTTACTCTTACTTAGGTTTTTCTAATGGCATGTGTTAAAGGTATTATTTATCATAAATATATAAAAAATATATAAAAGTTACATTAATTTTAATGTAAGTATTAAGCAGATAAATTTAATTAAACAATTAATAAATTAAAAATTAAATTTTAAGTTTTCTAATGTAAAATTTTCAACAAAATATATTTATTACACATTTATCTTATATTTTAAAGTTACATATTAAAAAATATCTTATAATTAAACCCCCAATATAAATTAAAATGAAAGAAAAATCAAACACTCCTAGTTCATCTGTTTAACTTAATTATTAAGCCATTGCGAAACCTATAAAGTAAAATTCTTTTTTAGGAAATCAGTTTATAAGTAGTTTAAAATTAATCATCTTTAAACATGATTTTAAAGGCAAGTTTTTGTATGTGTTTTTTTTTTACTAAAAGGTAAGACTAAATGTTTTAGTTTAGATACGGACCATCCACATTGTCCACACAAAAAATAAAAAAAGGAAGTTAGGAAAAAAAACCATATTGTAATTAATTAAGACGTCATTAACATGTGGTTAGGATAATCTTTAAAAAAAGGCATAATTAAAGGGAAAGGATTTGATGTTTTTGGACCAAAACAAGTGGAGAGTCATCTTTTTCTTTTGGCATTTTGAGATAAGACCCCACAAGCAATGGGCTGAAAGCAATCTTACATAACAAGCAGTGCAAACAATTACTAAAAAAATCAAAGTTAAATACTCATTGGATGGAGGGTTTAGTCAAGTCAATTTTTGCACCCACCTCCGATTCTTAAACTGTAATGGGACAAGTGAATATCGACAAATTTGCTTTGCGGCCATAGATAAGAGCATTCAAAGATGATGCCAAACTAAGAAGTTGAAGAAGATGAACCAGGCTGCGAACCATCTAAGTAGTTCAAATGTTTAACAGCAAAATTTTTTTTTAAGTAGCATTATATGTAAGTATGATAAATTAAGAAATGGGAAATAATTGTTTTTTATTTATAATTTAAAATAAAAAAATAAAAACTAAATCAAATATTAGTTTTTGTGTACACATGCACATAATTTTTTTATACGTAAAAATTAGAAATTGAATCCTACAATTATAATTAGGAGCACATGTAACTGCATTACTAAATCATGTAACTAATGATTACAAGTAATCTTAATGTTGCAAGCAAACATAATTTTTTTTAATTAATTATTCAATCAATTCAATTATTACTTATTTATTTTAATAAATCAAATTTAATTAATAAGGAGCATCAGAAATGCTCTAACACGTATCCTAACACAATATTATTGTTTAATTACGTATTCATTTTATTAAATAGGAAGGAGCCACCACCTAAAAATATCATATTGGCCTGTGCTACCTGTAAATATGGATTGCCACTTATTTGAAGTTTCACACTTAAAAACCCCTAATATAAAAATTCAAACTTTTATGATTTTATCTATTAAAAACACCTCTCAAGTGTGAACCTTTATATAAAAATTGACACCTTTACATATTCAAGCATGCCGATAATTTATATTCCTTTTCATCAACATTTCAAACAATATCTTTAGATTTTCTTAAAAAGATCGCATTTTTGGATTATTTTTTAAGGGGAAACAGAAAAAAAGAAAAAAAAGAAAAAAAAAAGAGAGACTACTATTTAAATACTATTAAAAAGAAAAGAGTACTTCTAAGTTAATGATTTTTTTTCATAAATTTACATAAAAATATAAAAATTAATGTTATTAATTTTAATATTATTGTTACATTAAAAATTTTAATTGAATAATTAATAAATTAAAATGTAATTTTTATTTTTTAATATAAACTTATAAAAATAACATATTTATTATACTTTAAATCACATATTTAAAAATTATAAAAGAAGGCTATGATAGAGTCGAACAGAGAAATGTCTGACCAACTATTTACTTCACTTGACTTTTGTGCCGCACCAAGTTTGACTGAAACGGTCCAAATTTCAATTTAACATTCATATGATTGTTTTATTTAATCAATGATAATTTGCATTTGCCGCCTCAGTTGAGGTGGTAAGATGCACCTGTTATATTCTTGATTTCTTAATTAATTAGAATTTAATTTGTAAGTATAATATTTATTTTATAATGTAAGATTACCCTCATTTTTTTCAAAATCCACATTGGTCAAAATAAAAATTGATAATTTGAAGAAATTTAATTATTTGTTCCCTAGAGGCACACAAAGGTTGCATTTAGCATCACCTAATTTCAGTATTTTGGAATAATTAAGGCTAATTCTGTGCGAATAAGTCCCCGATACGACGAATGACGAGGTATATATTCCAATTTTCTTTTCTAGGAGTATTTTGGAATTAATGTTCAATATATTCCAAGGAATCACCTAATCAAAATATATATTGTAGTAGGTTTAGGTTTAGAAATCACATCAATTTCTACACCAACGAAAGTATATATTGGAATGATATTGGAGAATATTAGGGAGAGAAAATCAATAGTAACATATAGGACAACTTGTGAGCATAAAGTTAAAGTCATGAATGACTAAAAGGGATTATTTACATCAGAATTATCTGATCTAAAGTCGTATTCTATTATTTTAAGAGTTGTTGTTTTATTTAAATAAACTTATATTTCACGTAACTCAATCACATAAAGAAGTATGAAAAAAGTGTTTATGAGAATTACAATAAAATATTAAGAATTAATCTGATGACTTGTCGGCCATTATTATTGAGAGAAAGAAGTTGGCCCAAAATAAAACCGTTCAGCAAAAAAAAAAAAAAAAGCGAATTAATTTTTAAAAAAATGGAAGATTATTTGGAATTAATATTC